TCTCATAGGCTCGTACTCTAGACCTCCTCAGAGCCTGTGTTATACTAATGTGTATCATGAAGCTTAAGAGAAGGATCTAGTATGTAGTTACTCCCAAATCCAAAGCTGGACCTCTCAAAGACGGATGGCTCCATTTGTCTTTGAGAAATGCTCTTCTAATGTCCCAATTGTGCTGGTAAGACACAGGAGAGTTTTCTTATAGAGTTTTTTCTACTGCTTTTCTTATAAGGCTGCTGACACCACAGCTAAATATTCAGAGTGTCTCAACTGCTTCTCTGAATTCTGGCAGGACCCACCTGCAAATGAGGAGATTTCCACAGACAGGCTGGTGGACGAGCCCAGGCAAGTCAGTTATACGTTCAAACTGAAAGAGACTGTGAAAACTTGATTTTTAAATGACTAAATTCAACAACGATAATCACCTATATTCTTATTTCCTAAGTCAAGGACAGAGGGGAAAATGGGGAAAGGACAAAAGAGGGGGCGACTGCTTCTATTCATGGTCAATAAATGTATCATGAGATACAGACTTGAACTAAGAATTCTTCTTCTTCTTTTCTTTTTTTTTTTTTTGAGGTGGAGTCTCGCCACAATGCCCAGGCTGGAGCGCAAAGGTACAATCTTGGCTCACTGCAACCTCTGCTTCCCAGGTTCAAGCAATTCTCCTGCCTCAGCTTCCCAAGTAGCTGGGTTAACAGGCACATGCCACCATACCCGGCTAATTTTTGTATTTTAGTAGAGACAGGGTTTCACCATATTGGCCAGGCTGGTCTCAAACTCCTGACCTCAAGTGATCCGCCTGCCTCGGCCTCCGAAAGTGCTGGGATTTCAGGCATGACCCCACCATGCCTGGCCAGAATTATTTTTTAGTAGTAGAAAAAACATCAGGCCGGGCGCGGTGGCTCAAGCCTGTAATCCCAGCACTTTGGGAGGCCGAGACGGGCGGATCACGAGGTCAGGAGATCGAGACCATCCTGGCTAACATGGTGAAACCCCATCTCTACTAAAAAATACAAAAAAACTAGCCGGGCGAAGTGGCGGGCGCCTGTGGTCCCAGCTACTCGGGAGGCTGAGGCAGGAGAATGGCGTAAACCCGGGAGGCAGAGCTTGCAGTGAGCTGAGATCCGGCCACTGCACTCCAGCCTGGGCGACAGAGCCAGACTCAGTCTCAAAAAAAAAAAAAAAAAAAAAAAAAAACCACACATCATATTCTCCTTTGTATTTAGATTTTAGCATCTAATTGCATATTCCCATTTTTGTTGTTGTCTGGAAAATGCTTAAGAGCTAACTTACCTTTTCTGTACTTTCTGAATAAATACTTTAGTAAGTACACAGGAGAATATTGAGTTCTTTATATATTACCTGACTTCTTAAGTAGTTGTAGTCCAAGTTATGTAATGCATTTTATACCCAACTGACTACCTTGTGAATTATACAGATACTCACATAGGTGAAAATTAATTTTATTAAAAAAGTACAGGATCCTTGGTCAATGTGCCAGCCTTTTAAATGTATCTGTAGCATCACTATCATCTCTCTTTTTCTAATAATAACCTCTTCATAAACCACACAGTTTTGAAAGTTCTGCTCCCCTCTTCCCTCTACATTCAAAAATTCAAAATCAGATCAGACAACTGTCATTCTTCCACATTCAGAGGTATCTCAGAAGGCAGGAGTAGCTGTGTACACATAAAGGATGCAGGCTTGGTCCCACAGAGAGTTAAATTAATACCCTGGCTTGACTAGTTCAACTTACCGTACATCTTCATTTGCCCAGGAACACAATCTATAGCCAACTGCTAACCAAGTCAATATGTGGTAAGACTAACAGCCACCCTAACCTGCCTTGATAATTATTCTCCTTTAACTGACATAATATTCAATATACTGTTGTTGAGAGCAATAATGCTAAAATTGATGCCTTGAGGGCTACAAGACAATTGAGTTTTAGCCAGATAAAATGACTTGTACACTAATAGTGCATTATGGGGTTCCACAGCCTTCGGACACACATTTTACAGCCTACTTTTACAAAAATGCCATATACAATTATATTCAAAGTAACTTGTGCACACCTTATCATTACCACATACAATCTTTAAAATATTGGCCAATTATCAAAATTACTTTAGAAGAAAAGGGTTTACTTTTACAGTCTCTCCCTTTTTTTCTTAACAAAACAAGCATTTTCTCACTACATAAGTGATAACAGTTTTGGTGTTCTGGAACCATTTGCTTTTTTTCCAAACCGAGAACTGTTTTAACAAAGAACAAGTAGATTATAAATGCTGAATAACAAAAACCATTATTTAAATAAAATCTATATTACATCAATTCTACCAATAAAACAAGACAGAAACTAAACCTAGAATTCCTCTAGTGTAAAAATCATCTATAGTTTTCTCAAAATGTCAATTTTAGACTCTGATTGGAGAAACATTATATTAAATTTGAAACTGTCAAAATCTATATTAAAATAATAAAAATTAATTATAATTGAAGTATTACAATAAATGAAAATGTTCTCTATATGCAATATTTCACCCTAAAATAAGGGATTTATAAATTTTAGTTCCTGGTTTTACTGAATTTTCCTCTCAAACTTAATTTCTCTTGCAATTTTGTATCTTTAAATCAAGCTTGTCCAATCCACAGCCCACGGGCTGCATGTGGCCCAGGAAGGCTCTAAAAGTGGCCAACACAAATTTGTAAACCTTCTTAAAACATTATGAGACTTTTTTTTTTTCTTTCCCCTAGCTCATCAGCTTTTGTTAGTGTGTGGCCAAAAACAATTCTTCTTCCAATGTGGCCCAGGAAGCCAAAGATTTGACACCCCTGCTAAATACTGGGCCCTCATATAAAAAGAAATACAGAGTACATTCACATTATTTATACTTGCATTAGAGATATGTTCACAAGTTGGGGAAAAACTAACATCCAAATAATTATTTCAAGTAAAATAAAAAACAGGCACTGGCCAAGGCAGAACAATAGGACCATAACACAAAAACATTATCAGGCTTTATATTTACTGCTATCAAAGTGCTACCTGAACTTTGTTAAAATGGCAAATCAGCATAGCCCCACACATACCTATTTGTTTGGACAGAAAGATACAATGTATATGCTTGTGTCTCTGTGTAGGTATACAGGTGTAAATATCTTAGGCAACAAATACATATGAAACTGAAATATAATATTAATGACAGAAGTATAAGGAGCATAGGGGAGGTAATAAAGATGGTACCAGATTGGGGCAAAACACTTGTTGGTTTGGAATAAAGAAAGGACTGTTAGCCAAGCAAACAGTTCCATACAAACAACTGTAAGAGGTTTTTCTCTTTGTGCAGGGTAAAATCCATTCAAAACAGATATTAATAATCATGTTGTGGAAATGATTGTAGAAAGATGTAGCACTGTATACATCTTGGGGCCAGTATAAGCAGGGATTGTGAAACCAGTTCCTTATTTATTTTTCCTGGCCCCTTCCTCCTAGACCTTGTTCCCCCTCATGCTCCCTGACTGTCCAAGACTTACCTTCCTACTTTAACCCACTGACATGTCCCCATCTTGAGTCAAATGAGATGCTTGTAAACAAGCTCTATAAACTGAAAACATAATATACAATTGCTAGTATTATCACCATCATCTCATCTTTTGAGGGCCAAATTTTCTGTGTCTTCCCAGTTGAGATTCACACTAAATTAAGATGCCATCCTATTCTGAGAGCAGACAGGTTATTCCACCTCCCTTACCTTTCCCTGCTTCTACTCACTATCCTTCCATTGCTCTCCTGTCACAGCTAACAGCTGGAGGTACCACACAGGAAAATGACAAGAATCTGTGTGTACTGATGCCAGGTTAAAGAGAGAGGTAGACTGAGACTCCCCACCCCTCACATGCCAAGCTGGCAGCCAATGCCCTTCATGTAACACACAGTAGCCCAGGGAATAAACAGTGGAGATATCTCTAGCACTACACAAAGCTGGCACAGCCAAAACCAATTGTTTTTGAAGGGGTCATGTCTCCTGGTATTATCCTCATGGGAAATTTGAAAAATTGCTTCAGATTCTACCTTCTCCAATTGAGATCTCCTTCGGCGGGAGGGGTATTTCTTCATCATCCAGTGTAGCCTCTTTGGATCCTGGGGTCTCCCAAAATGCTGCTCTCAACACTGACCCCTCAAGGGTTGTAGGAAGACAGACAGCCATAAACACATTTCAGAAGCAAAGTATACAATGCAAATGACACATGACACATTGCAAAAATGAGATGAAGAAAGGGAGGGATGGGAGATGGGGGTGCATAAAGGCTGTGGGCCTCCCAGAAAACTCTTAAAGCCCTTAACCAGATCAGAAGTGCCATTGATACAAACGGACACTCAAGGCTGGAAGAACAGGTTCTGCAAAGACCAAATCTAAAACCATGTCTGTGTGTTTCAGAATGCAGAAATCTGAAGGCTATGATGTGAGGGTTTACTGGTTATATAAGTTTATATGGATTATAGTTCTACTTTTGATTTGGCTGAAAAAACAATAAATAGTAAAATGTGTGCCTTTAGTTACAACGACTACCAAGAAAAACACCGTACCTGCAAACTGAGTATGAGACAAAGCCCTAATAAACCCAAGTGCAGGGTAATCTCAGATTTTCACACACCCATCACCCGCCTCAAAGGGCCCTCCTTTTTAATAGGGCTATAATAAGACTTGTTGGAGAAGCAGAAAACCCATGTTGTAGAGAAAGAGTTAAATTCAAAAAGGTGCAAACAAAGGTAACGCGAGTCAAGAGGCCATGTTTTCCTTGTAATACACCCTGAGGTCCGATGGTGGTCTGCTTTGTCTCTCTCCTTCTTTCCCCTTCCCAGACAAGCCTGCTGAAATGACCACTTTAACCAGAGCAGGGTGTGCAGCCCTTCCTGTGAGGTTTGCCAAGGGCTCTCACCCTTCCCCACCCAGAGCCGGCCCCGGACACCGGCAGCGTTCAAGTCTTCCCCCTACCTGAAGGATGTATCCTCGGACATAGTCCCGCAGAGTCCAGCCAAGGCCGTGCAGTATGTGCAGCACCTCCTCTTGCTTCAGGACACTGAAGAGACGGTCCAGCAGGATCTTTAGCCGCACAGGCACCGCTTGTGTTCCATAGAGCATCAGGCTGCTGATGTCAAACACGACGTTGGACTGCACAATCTCCACTTGGGTGGGGTGGTACAGGTGCTGCGTGCTGAGCTTATCCAAGGCTGTGGTGGTCCCGCCAAAGTTTCAGAGATGGGGGTGTTGGGAATAAAGAGATAAAGAGAGAGAACAGGAGTTAGAAATATCGCTGGAAGTTACCAGGGCTCCATTTCTATACATGAATGTTTGCCATACGTGTTTAAGCAAGATCCTGCAAAGAAAATAGTTCTCTGACATCTCCTTTCTGTTTTACCCCTTTTCTTTCCTATTTTTTAAATTGGATGTGTTTATAAATTGCAGGCAACAACAAATACAAAACACCTTCAACTTTAAGATAAAGAGCCACTGAGGATGTTTTTAAATGACCGTGGCTGGTGCTAAAAACCTCATTGATTTGTTAAGTGAACTGTGGTTCAACTCAAGTTAAGATAGTGTCCCCCACCCCCTACCAAAAACAAAACAAAACAATTCCTAACTCATGCCATACAGGGAGGCTCAATTATCACTTTTCTGAATAAGATTCACCTGTTATAATACCTAAATGGTTTGAGGAGGAAGAGAGTGTTCTTTAGACGATAGGGGTAAAAGACCCAATTTGGAGGAAATAAAGAAAGCTGACATCCGTGTGGAGGGTTAGTAATTTAAGTCAAGTCATATTAGCTATAGTGGGTTATCCAAAAACCTAGTTCTCCCAATTTCTCTCGTTAGTCACCTGTTAGATAGCTTTTGTGTTCACTGGCATGTTTTCTGAAACTTATTCAGGATACAAAGGAAAGAAAATTAAAGTCATAATTTTAAAAAGAAAGAAATAAGTCACTTTGTTAATAGCTCTAAGGGTACAGATGAAAATGGAAACAAATGACAAGACAACATGTGGGAATTTCTGGTGTATCTTAGCTGTGTTATCTCAGTAGAAAAAGCTGAGGATGACCATTCTCAGAGTCAACACTTTCAATACAATGGAAATTTCAACAATTGGGTGCTTTTTCTCCTCAAATTTAAGAAAACACTATCTCTTCTGTAGAACTAAATGCCAAAATAAGGTCATAAATTCTAGTCCCCATCCATATCTGAGTTGCTGCACACCCAACTGCTGATAATATAATTACATTTTGCCTCAGTTTCTCAAACAATAACACTGTCTTATCTGTAGGGCTTAAAGAGCTGCTGCAAAGATTAGTGAGATAATGAGTGAGAGGCACTCTAAACTCCTTAAGAGAACACAAAAGGCATTCAGAACTGTCAGAATTATATGCATATGCCCATTGAGGAATTAAACAAGACGAACACATAAGCCTGAAGGATGGTCATCTAACCTCATGAGTCAGGCAAATGGGTATCAGCCAACATCTAGGCTCAAGTGATAACTACACCTAAGTTATGTACCTAAGGTTTCTGCAAATTCTAAACTACTGTGTGGCCTTTCTCAGTTGCTTTTCCTAACACCTTATCCCTAACGGTATGGGCTACACTGCATGTGCATTCTCAGCAACTCCTATTTTACTACACCAGTATTACTGCATAATAATGGAGGAATTTAAAAGTGCGTGCACACAGATTTTTTAGTATTTCACATGTATTTTTTCAGGGCTCCTCCTCCACTCTCATTTCCTCCTGACTTGTGGTCACTAGAGAGTTCATGTACTCTTGATAAATTGCTTTCTTACATCCACAGTGTAAAGGCCCTTATCATTTACCCGCTGGCTTCATTCAACACATTTACTCCCAGGAATACTTTGTCAGAGGGTTCGGGTTTTCTCATACTTCATTTCTTGCAGCTGATTTGTCTGATCTTCCCTATTCTAGTGGTTAAGTCAACTTTGAATAAATAGTCTTAAAAATTAATTTAACGTTTGGGAAAGATAAGGGATTCACAAGCCTAGGGACTGAAGTTTTCTCTCACTCCACAGGGCATTTAGACTGCAAAAAGGCAGCAATGGGGTATTACCATTCCTGTTCTTCTTCAAGTACAGCTTAACTACTCAGCCTCCTGATGAGTAGCTGCTCTGCTTACAGAATCCAGTGACCATATCAGGGGGGATCTGCACCTCCTCCATTTCCCTTCATCAGCTCTCCTCAACCATATCAGACAGTTTTTTACAAAACAGACTTCTATGACAACAGCAAATATGAAACTGACAGGACTCAGTAGAAAGGAAATAAAACGACACAAAATCCTGATTTTTGTGTGTGTACTTGGCACCTTGCATCTCTGCATTAAGTACATGCAGGTGTGTGTGCAAATGCGTTCAAACTGTAGGTGAAAAAAACCATAATCCCTCTCCCTCCCACTCATTAAAAAAGGTTGGTTATTTTATTTTTTATTTATTTTTTAAGATGCAGTCTCGCTCTGTCGCCCAGGCTGGAGTACAGTGGCACAATCTCAGCTCACTGCAAATTTCATGCCATTCTCCTGCCTCAGCCTCCCGACTAGCTGGGACTACAGGGGCCCGCCATCAAGCCCAGCTTTTTTTTTTTTTTTTTTTTTTTTTTTTTTGTATTTTTAGTAGAGAGAGGGTTTCCCCGTGTTAGCCAGGATGGTCTTGACTCCTGACCTTGTGATCTGCCTGCCTCGGCCTCCCAGAGTGCTGGGATTACAAGCATGAGCCACCTCACGTGGCCAAAGTCGATTGTTTTAAAGATGAAGAGGACTAAACTGTTAAGGGTACAGAAGAAAAGAAAGAATCGTCAGAGAATTAAAAGAGCACAGATAGAACAAAAATATTTCCCTAGATATGCTTTCGAGAACACCTGAGATTGAGGATATTATAAGGACACTAGTTGATTCTTCTTCATAAGTATACCATATGTCAGTAAGGAAGAATACAGCTGGGAAAGGTGGCTCACACCTGTAATCCCAGCACTTTGGAAGGCGAGACAGCAGATTGCCTAAGCCAAGAGTTCAAGACCGGCCTGGGTGAAACCTCCACCTCTACAAAAAATGGAAAAATTAGCTGGGCATGGTGGCATACACCTGTGGTACCAGATACTAGGGAGGTTGGGGTAGGAAGATCCCCTGAGCCCAGGGGCAATCCAGGTTGCAGTGAGCCATGATTGTATCACTGCACTCCAGCCTGGGCAACAGAAGTGAGACGTGTCTCAAAAAAAAGAGGAAAAAAGTAGAAAAACTGTTATAAACCACATAAATATACAGCAAAGGTCAACAACTTATTCTGTAATGGCCAGATGGTAAATATTTTAGGTTTGTGGGTTATGCGTTGTCTTTCACACCTATTCACCTCTACTGTTACAGCAAGAAAACAGCCATACATAGATAAGACTTAAACTATTAGGTGTGTTAGTGTTCCAATAAAACTTTATTTAGGCCAGGTGCAGTGGCTCACACCTGTAATCTCAGCACTTTGGGAGGCCAAGGCAGGAGAATTACTGGAGCCCAAGAGTTCGAGATCAGCTTAGGCAACACAGTGAAACCCTGTGTCTACAAAAAAATAAAAAATTAGCCAGGCATACCGGTTGTCTCAGCTACTTGGGAGGCTGAGGTGGGAGGATTGCTTGGGCCCTGGGGGTCAAGGCTGCAGTGGAGCAATGATTGTGCCACTGTATTTTAGCCTGGGTGGAAGAGTAAGACCCTGTCTCCAAAAACAAACCAACAAACAAACTTTATTTACACAAAGAGACACCTCACCAGCTTTGTTTGGGCCCTGATGATGATGAAAATGTGGCTCAGATATTTAATGGAAGTCAACAGTAGATCACAAAAAAGCTCTAAGAGTGTGGTTTAGGAAGCAGTTACCTAGGAGATGAGCCGTAGATGAAGACTTAAAAAATATTAAATTGGGCCAGGCATGGTGGCTCACACCCATAATCCCAGCACTTTGGGAGGCCAAGGTGGGCAGATCACGAGGTCAAGAAATCGAGACCATCCTGGCCAATATGGTGAAACCCCGTTTCTACTAAAAATACAAAAATTAGCTGGGCATGGTGGCACACACAAGTAATCCCACCTACTTGGGAGGCTGAGGCAGGAGAATCGCTTGAACCTGGGAGGCAGAGGTTGCAATGAGCCAAGATCACGCCACTGCACTCCAGCCTGGCAACAGAGCGAGACTCCGTCTCAGAAAAAATTAAACTGCCTAGCTTGCAAATTTCAGCATAAACATATCATCAAAGATTATGATCTGCCAAATTTCTTGAATATATCAAAATTTTCTGCTTTACAATTACTAGATCATATTGAGTCACCAAGTTGTGACAACTTTTGGGGAAGTACCTCTGAAACTATGATACGTGATGATTTTTTAATTGTCATAAAATCTGTAAGGTGAGAACTGGACTGCTGTCTAATTTCATGATCTTCATATATCTGACTGTGGAAGAGGCAGGTTTGGATCTTGCAGGGTTAGGAATATGAGTTAGGCCAATGGCACTGTAGAAAATGTAGGTCAAGAACTTGTTCATCAGGATGGAGTGGGAAAAGATGGCACCCACTTTAATTAATTTTATGGGCCTAACCAATTGCTAATTTGTCCTATACCAATGGTATTGTCAAGATTCATTTTCAGGCCAGGCACCGTGGCTCACGCCTGTAATCCAGCACTTTGGGAAGTTGAGGTAGGTGGATCACCCAAGGTCAGGAGTTTGAGACCAGCCTGGCCAACATGGGGAAACCCCATCTCTACTAAAAATACAAAAATTAGCCCAGTGTGGTGGCACATGCCTGTAGTCCCAGCTACTTGGAAGGCTGAGGCAAGACAATCACATGAACCAGCCCAGCGTGGTGGCACATGCCTGTAGTCCCAGCTACTTGGAAGGCTGAGGCAAGACAATCACATGAACCCAGGAGGCGGAGGTTGCAGTGAGCCGAGATCGCATCACTGCACTCCAGCCTGGGCAACAGAGTGAGACTCCATCACAGGAAAAAAAAAAAAAAAAAAAAAAGATTCATTTTCAAACAAAATCTAACCAGAAGTTGCACATACAAAATATATAAAAGTGAAACTGTTCTAGGTGAGGCTGGAGTAATCACAGATTACAGAATGTCCAATCAAGTATTACTCCTTTTTTCTCAACTTGCTTAAGTATCTCAGTGGGCCGAACCTTGGAA